AGGTGAGAGCAGCCAGTGCAGCGATGGGCCAGGCTCCCAGCCACGGGCAGGCCTTGGGCCTCAAGCTCCCCGTCGCGCCACCCAGCTCCCCTGGGCTGCTGGAGGCGAATGCCCCTTCCTGGCCAGTACCAGCCCCGGGAGGAACTGGGGCTCTGAGGCTCTCGACTGGCGAGAACCATGTCAGGGCAGCGAGAGGGCAAACGTGGCCCAGTCCCGTCTCCTCCAGCTGCCCCGTGTCTCAGGGCTGTTCCCTCCAGCGTCACTCCTGCTGTGGTAGAGCCGCCACTAGCCTGCTTCAGGAAAGGGCCAGGAGAGCTGCTCCGACCCTGGCCGGTGGGCGGAGAGGTCAGCTGTGGGGTTCTTCCCAACACTCCTTGGGGGCAGAGTCGGCCAGTTCCTGCTGTGGCCCAGTCCCGTCTCCTCCAGCTGCCCCGTGTCTCAGGGCTGTTCCCTCCAGCGTCACTCCTGCTGTGGTAGAGCCGCCACTAGCCTGCTTCAGGAAAGGGCCAGGAGAGCTGCTCCGACCCTGGCCGGTGGGCGGAGAGGTCAGCTGTGGGGTTCTTCCCAACACTCCTTGGGGGCAGAGTCGGCCAGTTCCTGCTCCCCAGGTGCGTGGCGGCTCTGCTAAGCCAGCTGCTGTTTCCCGTCTGGAATGGCCTGGGAGCCAGCAGCCCAGTCGGGCTGCAGTGAGGGGGGAGGTGGCGCACTGAGGACTGGGGGTCACCGACGCTGGGTGCAGCGGGGCTGCCGGCGCTCGGGGCCAAGGGCTGGCAGGGGGCATCGCGACCGTGTCTGACAGCGCTCACCTTGCCTCCGACAGGCAGAGAGCGGAGCTGGAGGAGCTGAGGCGGCAGCTGGAGGAGAACAGCGCCGTGGGCGCCAAGGCCCTGAAGGAGGAGTACGAAAAAGCGAAAGAGGAGCAGGAGAGGCGGCACCAGGTCTTGCCCCTCCCCCTCCCCCCCCAGGGCTGGCAGGGGGCATCGCGACCGTGTCTGACAGCGCTCACCTTGCCTCCGACAGGCAGAGAGCGGAGCTGGAGGAGCTGAGGCGGCAGCTGGAGGAGAACAGCGCCGTGGGCGCCAAGGCCCTGAAGGAGGAGTACGAAAAAGCGAAAGAGGAGCAGGAGAGGCGGCACCAGGTCTTGCCCCTCCCCCTCCCCCCCCACACTGGCCCGGTGTGCCAGCTGACACGGGGGACACCCACGTTCCTGCAGTGCAATGCAGCACGCAGGGCTCCTCCAAGCCCTCCGCTAGCCCTCGCCCCGGCGCACTGACACGCAGACTGCCCTCGGAGGAGCAGCTGGCCATTGCCAGCAGGTGCCTGGTGGCCGGGGGTGGTGACGCTCCCTTGAACAGGTTTCTGTCTCTCCTCTTCCCTCCCGCAGGCAGAGGTGAAGGTGCTGAAGGACAGGCTGGAGATTGAGAAGCAGGCGTGGGAGGCCAACTACGTGAAGAAGGAGGTAACTGCGCTCGGCCGGGACTGTAGTTGAACAGCCCAGAGAGTCAGCGTCGCTGACCAGTGCTGCTCCGGGCGCCCAGAGGTGTTAGCCGGCTCAGCGCCCTGGCAAACCCGCCGTTCAACGGCCTTTTCCCCTTGTGAATGGAACCGAGAAGAGAGAGAAACAGCCGAAGCCTTTACAACAAGGGATTGAGTCGAGCTTTCATGGTAGCAGCAGCCTTGTTCCCGTCCCCTTTAGCTGCAGGGAGATTTCAGAGCCAAGACCCTGCCAGTCTGTTAGAGATGGTCAGAGCTGGCTTTGGGCGGGGGAGAGATGTCGTTAGTTGGGCTGAAGCTGCTGCCGCAAACCCATTTCCTAGAAGAGAAGAGAAACCCCCGAAAAGAGGGGAGAGACGAACAGCAATGAGAGAGAAAGCCACATCGCTCTCTGGTGTTAACACTCAACTGCAGGAGAACCACCGGCCCAGCCCGTGGGCTGATCAGCCACCCGGCGACCTGGCACACTCGTCCCGGCGTCGGGGGAGCTAGGCCTTTGCGGTCACAGGCTGTGGTGTAGCGGGGGGGCCTTGCTGGCTGCTGGGCTTGGGCAGTGGGTGACTCCACTGGTGACTGTTTGTAGCACGGCCCTTCAGGGCAGGGGATGAGTCGCTAGGCAAGGGGCTCCCAACCTGTGACCAGTCACCTCCCAGGGAGAGAGACAAAGGGAGGAAGGCAGAGACCAACCCGTCTGGGGGGCAGGGCTGGAAGAGTTTTTAGTTTCTGTTTGCAATCATGGAGGAAGCAGCCTAAGCAAGGGGCTGGGATTTCGGGGCCCAATCTCCCCCATCTCAAGGGGGGCTGAGGCATCCTAGCCCTGCCCTGGAACCAGATTCCATCTGTGCTGTGCTATATCCTGGAGAAGCAATAAACTCCCTCTGTTCTACTGGCTGGTGGAGTCTGTTCGTGCCACTCCGGGGGTGCAGGAGACGGGGAACCCCGACACGTCGTCACACAGGCTCACAGCGCTGGGGCAACATCTGCTGTCTTGGCTAGATGCTTATTAGAGAGAACAGAGACGGGAACCAGCAAAGAGAAGGAGGCAAACCCCAGGTTGGGGGTGGAGTGTGGTGGGGGTCAGGACTCGGCTGGAGCCAGTGGAGGTGTTGGTTTCACCTGGGCCCTTCTCTCTAGCCCGGCCTGCTCAGGACGGCTCTAAGATCCAGGGTCACACAAGAGGCTCACACCTGCCCTTTCCTGAATTAAGCCACAAGCCATGTTCGGGGGAGCCTCAGGAAGATGTGGTGGGCAGAGAAGCCCGTCCCCTCGTTCTACCCCCCGGCTTGATTCCCAGCACACGAGGTGGCTCACCATTTCCAGTCTCGCCTTGTTCCTGTTCGTCAGGCAGGCGCTTCGCACAGCCCTGGAGGCGTGCCAGGAAACCTTTGGGTTGGACTGATCCTCTGCCTTCCTAGGCACCTTGTCCTGCCTGTCGTCCCCGTGTGCCCTGTGACGTAGTGGGGGTACCTGGCTGGTTTCTATGCTGTTGGCTCTGGGGTAACCCCCACTGGCTGGCCGGGGGA